GGGGGGACGGGAAGAGAGGAGTGAATAAATACACCTGAATGAATGAAGTGAAAAGGATAAGGAAAAGAGAAATAGGTGTGCCGCGTTGATTCAGAATGATGAAGTATCCTCATATTCACGTTGTTTTTGACAAGTGGACAATGAAGCTGCTTATCGTCTCTCCTCCCCCACCCCCACCTCGCCACCTCACTTCTTCCAACTGGCTCTCTTTCTGTCGCACAAATCCATAAATCTTGTATTTTATTAAGTTCTTTTTCTAATACTAGTGGCGTGTAAATTACAAAGCGAAATGCGTTTTCTCTGAGAAAGAATGTCTGCACAAAGTAGTCAACGAAGGGTTAAATGACAAAAGTCGTGATTTCTCGGAGAAACTTCATTGTTTCCTTATACATTTGTGAACAATAACATATTGGAAGGTACTGATGTTCATTCACTCTGGGAAAAAAATTTTCCAGTTTGTGCTATTTTATTATATTGGATAACAAACAATAATCTGAGTTTTGTGGTGACCTATCCATTTTTAAACATCGATAGTTAATTTCTTGGGAGCCTTTATTTTGCCATGTAAAATCATGCAAAAAATTCTGACAAAAATTGAATTACTTAGCTAACTTAATTAATGGAAACCCTCTTTTATCTCTCCATATTTAACAGTAGTAATATCGCACTCAAAAAAACTTAGGATTTAATTTATGAATCAGGTCATCGTTTCTATGAATTTGAAATGCCTTACATGGATACTAACCTTTAAAATTTGAATGAAACATTATATTCACGCAAGACATATTTGATGCAGTTTATCAGGCATATAAAAGTCGAAGCCCGTTTGGAAAGAATTGTTACTCACGTTTTGTTGTCTTCCAAAGTTGACAACTGACTTACAAAACATTTGGAAAAAACGTTTGAGTGACTGAATGTCCGTAAAATCGAACCTTATCAAACATTTAATTAATCGCCAAAAACAAAAATCGATAAAAAAATAAGCCATTTAATAGAAGATGGTTCTAAGTGTAAGGAGATAACTTGACTATAATATTGAACATAAGGAAGTAGCAGGACTCCTAATTTAACATGTTTTGAGCCCTGATTGCACTGATTGCTCATATGTGCAGATCGACTAAATCCTCTAAGTTTCAGTCCAGCAAAATTCAATGTCACATAATCTTCTTTCTTTCGACCTCTGGAGGCAGAAATACTACTTTGAATGTAGATGTAGCCTGGAGTTACATTTATATAATTTCTGCCGTGGAAGAGGCGGGAAGATAATCCGACCACCAGAACAGAGATAGAAGATGGATGAATTTTTTATGTTTCGTCGCCGGCTGTTTTATTGCCCGACGGTTTGAGAGAGTTGTATTCTTTGTTACATTCGTCGACTTCTCTACATACGTTCTCACTCACTCACACATACACACGCACACGCATATAAAAAGTAAAGGGGGATTTCCTCGACTCTTTGATGATGCTGTCCTGCTACATATGTCCACGATAATAACAAGCCATAGAGCAGGTGTAGTTATACATGAAACTATAAAGCTCTTACAGCGAAAGTCTCGATCATTAGCGGTAAAGTTTTTCACTTATTTCAGAGCGGCAATTCGTGCTTCGAGGGACAAATAAGAGAGAGAGAGTGAGCGAGGGAGGGAATAACTGAGAAATTGTAACAATTCCCTTCCCTTTGATCTCTCATGCGGTGATGTGGTGGTGGGGGCATAGTAGGCATCAGCAAAGAGGTGTAATAGAGGTTAGATACACACAGAGAGGGAACGAATTGCGCACACCTGTGTTACAGGACCTTCTGGTGTTCTGTTCGGTGATTCCTACAATTCTGAAAGTCTACATTTCTATCTGCGCACCATGTGACTCATTTATTTCAAAAGTTGTTTTGTGTTTCCCGACAAATTTAAATATATGTAATAAGGTATTGATTGAGTTGTCCTTTCGCATCCCACCTATCTGTAATTAATCAGTTACTAAAAACGTCCCATTTTGAAAAAGTTTGATCAAGCATGTTTAAATAAACCTGCGGTTTTCAAACATGTCAAATGAATATTAAAGATCAGAGCAATATCACTGATCTCGTGACACACTAGATAAGGTCTTGTTTTTTTACATTTTTCTAACCTTTATTGAATAGAGTCTACTACTGATGAGAGCAGATCGATAGGGTATTTAAAGGTACATAGTTCAAGCGACTCTGAGTTGTGATTAAGAAGAGTGACCTACATTGTTTTTCCTTGTTTTCCACAAAAAAAAACAAAATTCAAAGCGGAAGAATGTGAATCTTAAATTGCAGCTAGTAGAATATAAAAAAACTCCAAAACCCAGCTATTGCCAAAATATTAGACCCATTGTAAATGAGTAGAATTCGGACGTAGAATACGTGATAATTAGATTAGAAATGAAAGAAAAGTGTGCTGATATTAGGTTGGCAACTATGTCATTGCTGATTTCAAATAAGAAGGCAAATTCGGAATTTTTGTTTAAAAATATAACTTTATTCAATTAGATATTGGCCCTTCTTGTAGATGACCTTTTTCCATCGTTCTGGCAGAGTAAAAATTCCCCGTTCGTAAAATGTCTGGTCTTTGCTATTAAAAAACTGAATTAGGTGTGATCCGACATCATCCGCGTTGTTAACAATTTTACCATTTAAAGAGTTTTGCATGAAACGAAACAAATGGTAATCCGAAGGCGCAAGGTCAGGGCTATATGGTGGGTGTGACAAAACATCCCAGCCAAGGTTCCAATAATTTTTGCCGAGTAACCAAAGATGTGTGGGGCCTTGCGTTATCATGATGGAAAACAACACCCTTCCGATTTGATAATACCGGCCGCTTATCTTCAATTGCATCCTTCAGTTTTTCCAGTTGTTCTACATACACATTTGAATTTATCGTTTGGTTCTGCGGCATGAGTTCAAAATACAAAATTCCTTTGTGATCCCCCCACCAGACTGACAGCATAATCTCTTTTTGGTGAATCTCTGCTTTTCATACTGTTTGGGCTGGTTGATCTTGCTTCACCCATGGTCTCTTGCGAGTAACATTGTTATAAACTATCCACTTCTCGTCGCCAGTAACTAGGTTCTTCAGAAATGGATCATTCTCATTCTCATTGCGTTTCAGTAGCGAATCACAGATGTTAATCCGTTGCGTCAAATGAATTTCCTTTAACTGGTGAGAGATCCATAAATCAAGTTTCTTGACATAACCAAGGGTTTTTCATTTTTTTCAATGCATGTATGCGACACATTGAGCTTCTCTGCAATATCTCGTGTTGTGCTGTGACCATTTGAATCGATAATGGCCTTGATATGGGTTTCATCCACTTCGACTGGGAGGCCAGATCGTTGTGAATTTGTCAGTGAAAAATCACCGGAACGAAATCTTTCAAACCAATTTCGACACTGCCTTCCTTTTAAGGCTTCATCTCCATATACGGCACATAACTTCTTTTGTGCTTGCGATGCGTTCTTGCCTTTTCGGAAGTAATACAATAAAATGTGTCGGAAGTGCACGTCCTGTTCTTTCATTTTTAAATTGGGATAAAAACAAAACTAAAGAACTAAACAAAAAAATTTTTTGCTAATTAACCTAGAAGCCCATACAGTAAGAAAAAAATATAGGTTAGATGCTCTGGCCACGTTAACAAAACAAAAGAAAGTATAGAGTGAATCCGTCAACAAAAACGGCAATGACTTAGTTGCCAGACCAATAGTAACAAACTTTTAAGATTCAAGAGACGTTATAAAATATGCCACATAAGAGAGCGGTTTGTTAATTTAATAAAAAAGTTCTAAGGCATAAATGAATAAATTTTACATGGTATCTACTTCTCAAAATATGTCATAAATATTGATAAGATAAAATATACTGTAGTCTCATTATTTTTATTGTTTTAAGAGGGGTATCTAAGTAGACTGCTTGTTGAATCAACTCAACGAAATCCAGATAAAATTGAAATATTCTATGACAAAGATTCCCTAAAAAGCTTATCAAAACATCAAAATGTTTACAGAAACAAATATTTTAATGAAACTTTCCCAACAGACAAGCAGAAACGCTTCCATTCCCCATTATGCAATATTATTAAATGCTGCTTTATTGTTCGCATAAGGGCTGCTATTTAATTGTAAATTAATTAATTTTAAATCCTTTAATTTATTAAGGGGATATTAGGATTCACAATTTTGACCTTTGCCATTATACTTTTCATTAAGCAGCAAAGCAAAAAACCCTTCTTATCGCCATTTTCCTCATTTGTCCCGACAAATGTACGAAAAAGGCCAAACACGCACAGGTTTGAATTGTAAAGGGAGAAAAAGCTGAGTGAAAGAGGAGGATGAAGAGGTGAAAGAAGAAAGATGGCACGAATGCGACAAACCGTTTTTGCCCCTTAGATCCTAAACCTCTCTCTCACCCTCTCTCACCCTCTTTCTCCCCCTCTCACCTCACTCCCCTTTATCATCAGTGGAGCAATTTGGTGCAGCCGAAGAAAACTCCGCTAAGTTTGAAGGGTGGAAAAAACTTGGGTTTGGATAGCGCGGGAGAGAACACTGGAGATGGGGATGGGGATGGGAGAAGTGCTTATTGTAGCAAGGAACTAGCAGACTGGCTTAAAAGGAAGTATGACGCCCGCGTGCTAAGGAAGAAAGAGAAAAAGACGGGGTCGCAGAATAGTAGAAAAGAAGAAATTCCAAATCCAGAAAGGCACAGAGAGATGAGGAAGTATTAGACAGCTTCAAGACAATTTCTTGGAGAGACCACGTGCACACTAGCATACTGCCTCGTATATGACCGAGGTAAGGGAGGAGGGATGAAGATAATACTTTTGTGTGCCAACTTCTCCCTCCCCCTCCCCCTCTCCCCCCCCCCCTCGTCCTCCTCCTCCTCCATCCTTTTAAAGTGCCATGCTTGTAAGGTTAATATTTAAACTACAGTACCGTTTTTTAAACTCTTCCTCGATTAATGTTCAAAATGTCTCTTAGCAAGGTGGTATCTATTTTATTTAGCATTTCATGGCACCAAATGTTGATAAGAAAACCATACTTTAATAAATCAACTTCTATAAAACTTTCAATGTTCCTATTTCTTTTGTTTGATCAAAAGAACGTTGACGACATATAAAAATGACGTGAGCCATGATGCGAAAGATTCATAACTTTCACTATGCGATGTAAAGCACCATTCAGGATTTAGCTTTTGGAAAAAGTCTTTTGATGTGCTTGACCATGAATCTCACTCCTTCGTCCTAAAGACCTCTATCGAATAACTTATTTGAGGTGATAAATTCCGTTAAATTACTATTTGGACAGAAAAATTTTACCACCATCTTTACTTTTATTGTCACGAAAATCATTCAAATGCCTCCTGGCAGGGTAAAACGCTTATTTTAAGCTCCCTGCAGTCCATTTAAAGATTTTAACATTCGAGAAAGCTTTTTGATGTTCGGTATCAAAACCACCAAAACAAATCTGGTCTGTAAAATGTGCTTTAAATTAGCTGGAAATGAGCGTATGAATCATAAGAAATGTTTTGAGAGATAAATGTCAGATTGGCTCCTATACTTAAAGGAAGAGCAACATGACAGGCCAACCAATGAGGTCACTATTTATACTTGGTTTCAGTTCCTCAAAAATACTGAAAAAGTTTAATGAGGAGTTTTAAAGAGCGATGTTTTCCGATTATATGAAAGCAATATTTGTCCATATAAAGTTGGCATTTAGTAGTTTAGAAAATCCATAAAAAAATTTGAAAATTCAGTCGATGGTGTCTTGAGATAAATAATCTTACTTATGATTGTAGCTCTAGACTAGTACCTCTGAGTAGACAATTCGCAAACTCCCTAACTTCAAAATATTGCATATGATCCCTTTAACACAAACGAAAATTAATTTACAGAACTCTTCACTTAAAAAATAAAATTATTTTGGTCTCAAAAATTACTTGAATAGCGAAAGAAGAAATGGTTAAATTTTAACTGGAGTATAAAATGTTTTCTTTAAGGTGCTATTGGTAAAGGTAGTGAGGATGACAAGTGTAATCACAGATGAGAGCTGAAATTAGAATTGGAAGCAAAGATCTGAACGTATTTTTATTCATACATAGGGATAAATTGTCCATCAATCCCACTTAAAAGTTGTTTTCTCAGAACAGGGTGTAAGTTGACAACTCAGAAATATTCTTTGACCCCTTAGAAGTACGGTATACCAAATGCACTTAGGAAACAAAAATATTACCAAGATCATTCACTCTAAATCTTCTCTTTAGGCTTACTTAAATATAAACTAAGTCTATTTAAATAACGACTCCAAAGTTCATTAAAGAAAGCAGTTTGTGACACTTATTCTGGATACTGAAGAATCATTAGGGAGTCCTTCTGATGAGAAACGAATTGGGGTACTCCTATTAAAGCCGAAGTTAACCAGTCCAGTGGTCTATTTTGTCAGCAGAATGTGGGTGCCTTCATGGGCACCGAGACCTTAACTTCCAACTTCACCTGCCATCGTGCTAGCAACTGCCTAACCAACGCACACGAGTTTATTCAACAAAGTCAGTGAGCTATTTCGAACTCTATTAAACTGGACAATCGACTTTGCTGAACAAAGGACATTTTGAAAATAATGAAATAGACTGATGTCAGAGCCACTGCCACGTCGTTCAAGAAACCGGATTTGAAAATGGGGATATATGATGACAGATGGTCAGCTATCTGAGCAGATTATACTTATATTCTCTTCTCCACCCTATATTGCGACCACTTAAGTTACATTAACAGTGTAAAATTGATTAACATTGAAAGTTTTAGCGTCTATGGACATTTATTTATTTATTTCAAATGGTAGGCGTTTTGATAGCTATCATTAGCCCTTTAATTGACTTCGGGCTTCACAGAGGGAAGGTTCATCAAAGTAGCAGAAAGTCGAGGGGTGGGGAACAGAAGAACGATTCACAGATGTAAAAGAGGCAGACAGACACAAAGGCAGAGAAAAAGGGAAGATGAGTACTGTGAAAGCGGTCGAATATGACAAGCAGTCGTGCCATGGTATTTTGAAGTCAGAAGTCAACTGCCGGTTAATAGACTTTTTTGCCGTATGAGTATGCGTTGCCCAGGGTGCACCACGTGGAGGTAAGTCTATCGCACATTTACTTCGGGAAATTATTCTTGCTAACTGATTTTTTTCGAAAAATGAGGCCAACATGTTTCATCTCTAACAGCGAATTTTTTATTGAATTTTTCTAAAGAGGCCAATTCTAATGAAAACAGCGCAATAATATTCGATTTTCTGCTTGATGAATGCAATGTGAACTAAATTTAATCATTTGTACATTTAAAGACCTCAATTTGTCGGTAGTTGCGGCTAAATTCTTACTTCCATATCACTAAAGTTATGTTTCTCACTGAATCACTTTGAAGTCAAAGATTCAATTTACACTTCGATTTCT